AGTACAACCTGCAGCGCCTGCGGCTGGTGAGAAGCAGGACGCTGCCCCTGTTGCCGTCAAGCCTGCGACCCCGCCCGCTGAGCGACCAGCGATCGTTAACGACTACGATCCCAAGGAGTTCCCGATGGCTATGAGCCCCGGTGACCCTGGTTGGAACGACATTGTTGGCACTGCCCCTGGACCTCGTGTCAACGCCACCTTTGTGACCCTTGCGAGGAACAGCGATGTTTGGGACATCGCTCGCTCCATTCGTCAGGTCGAGGATCGCTTCAACCGCCGCTACAACTACGACTGGGTCTTCCTGAACGACAAGCCTTTCGACGAGACCTTCAAGAAGGTCACGACATCGCTTGTTTCTGGAAAAACTCACTATGGCGAAATCCCCAAGGAGCACTGGTCTTTCCCTGAGTGGATCGACCAGGACAAGGCCAAGAAGGTGCGCGAGGACATGGCCCAGCGCAAGATCATCTACGGCGATTCCGTCAGCTACCGCCACATGTGCCGTTTCGAGTCTGGCTTCTTCTTCCGCCAGCCGCTCATGATGAACTACGAGTACTACTGGCGAGTCGAGCCCTCGATTGAGCTCTTCTGCGACATCCACTATGACCCCTTCCGCGTCATGAAGGAGAACAACCGCAAGTACAGCTTTGTTCTGAGTTTGTACGAGTACAAGGAGACCATTGCCACGTTGTGGGACTCGACCAAGAAGTTCATGAAGAACCACCCCGAACACATTGCCGCCGATAACTCCATGGGATTCCTGAGTGACGACAACGGCGACACCTACAACAACTGCCACTTCGTAAGTATTGATCATTCGTATGCCGTAAAAGCTTCATAATGCTAACCCGTTTACAGTGGTCCAACTTTGAGATTGGTAACCTGAACTGGCTTCGCTCTAAGGCCTACGTTGACTACTTTGAGTCTCTGGACAAGGACGGTGGTTTCTTTTACGAACGCTGGGGCGACGCTCCTGTCCACTCCATCGCCGCAGGCATCATGCTTCCCAAGGACCAGATTCACTTCTTCAACGACATCGCCTACTACCACGTTCCCTTCACTCACTGCCCCACTGGGGAGAAGACACGCCAAGACCTCCGCTGTCACTGCAACCCTAAGGACAACTTTGACTGGAAGGGCTACTCTTGTAAGTGTTGACGTCAATCCACCAATCAGGGCTGAATGCTAATGAAATGCAGGCACGAGCCGCTACTTCGATATCAATGGGAAGACGAAGCCCGAGGGCTATGAGAACCAGAAGGATTAAGAAAATAGTGGCATATCGGGGAAATAGACTAGCTGTACGAAAGGTGCGAGATCATGATTTTTGGGCTTCACCACCCAGACCTATTCACCAAGTGATGGGTTGAATCGGTGCGCGGATCAGGGGTGCTTCACCGTGGAACGGCGTCAAGGCTTCTTTTGCGGTTTTGGACATTTGCTCGCTTGCCAATGCAACAAGGAAATGCCATTTGGGATCAATCAAGTATTCGCCATGCCACTTGTGAACTGTTTTACAATAAATTACACACAATTTTCAACAGCTCTCCGTCTTAGCAAGCAACAGCCGCTTGCCCACTCGTACTATACCATCGTGCATTTCAACCCACAACAGCCTTCTTTGGCCTAGCCGTGCCGTACTTACTGCGACTACTGACACGGTTTGCAACGCCTCCAAGGTCCAATGCGCCACGAACGAGGTGGTATCGCACACCCGGGCAATCCTGACTTCTTCCGCCGCGCACGAGAACAACGCTGTGCTGCTGAATGTTGTGTCCTTCACCAGAGATGTAGGCGGTAACCTGTCGACCGTTCGAGAGACGCACACGAGCCGTCTTGCGTTGGCCCGAGTTGGGCTTCTTTGGACGCACAATGCCGACCTTGATGCATACGCCCTTGAGAGCCGGGGCTTCGACATCCGCGAGAGCGGGAGAGACGGCGTGACGAGCGCGCTTGCCTTTGCGGCAGCCCTATCACTTAGGTCAGTCAATGTCGGAAAGATGGGGAATGGCGTTACAAACCCGCAGGACCTGCCCTATCGTCGCATTGTGAACAGGTGTTGAGGAGAAAGCCCTGACTTGGAAGGCCGGCCTGGCGAGGATCGAGATGGGAGAAAAAGGTGCGACAAACTGCGCCCTGCGCAGCGTTGGCGCCAAAAGCCGATTGAAAAGGGCGCTCGCCATCATAGAGTGCTGGCAATGATGAATTGGCTGGCTCTCAATGGTTTGATGCGATGCTTTCGAGCTTCGCGCCTTCCGATCTCAATCCTCCTTATTGTAACATTACATAATTACACGTGACATGAGCCTTCTTGACTCCAGGCCGTCACATGTCGAGTCAGCAATATGGTCGTTCCCGGATAAACGCCGGATTTAATGCTGCGAGTTTGCCCAGCCGGGGGGTACCACAGGGATGGATATCCTCGGCTGAAGACGATCGCCCCAAGGCATGGGGCGGCATTGAAGGGGCCCTCGGTGCTGGCGATGATCACCTAGACTTTGTCTCTCCGTCCATCTTTCAGTGCTGTCACAGTCACGACCCAACTTTAGCACTTCACTTTGAATTCACCTCCCTGCCAATCTCTGACCACTTGATCAGCAAGTTCGGAATCCCAACCCTCATCCTCATTCACAAGTACCGAGGCTCATCATGTCTTCACTTACACGGGTTGTTCGCCCCGCCATGCGGAGGAGTCGCGGCGTCATGGCCATGGCCGCGGCGAGGAGCAACGCCTCCGCGAGGGCGGCGATGCCTTTCATTCAGAAGTAGGTCTTTTTCATTCTCGATAGTCCAGCTATCAACTTACATCTGTATAGGTCCTCGAAGCCCCTGTCCACGACGTCACGCCGCCAGAATGCCGACACTCTCGACATTACCGACATTCCCCCCACTCCCATCACACACTTCTCCGAGCTGGAGCTCGCCATGGCCGAGTCTGTGAACAAGTTCGCCAATGAGGTTATTGGCCCCAAGGTCCGTGAAATGGATGAGGCCGAGAAGATGGATCCCACCGTGGTCGAGCAGCTGTTTGAGCAGGGCCTCATGGGCATTGAGATCCCCGAGGAGTACGGTGGCACGGGCGCCAACTTCACGTCCGCCGTCATTGGCATCGAGGAGCTGGCCCGCGTGGATCCTAGTGTCAGCGTCATGGTCGATGTCCACAACACACTCGTCAACACGGCCATTATCAAGTACGGCTCACAGGCGCTGAAGAAGAAGTTCCTGCCCAAGCTGGCGACGAACACTGTCGGCAGCTTCTGCCTCAGCGAGCCCGTCAGTGGCTCTGATGCTTTTGCCATGGCTACCAAGGCAACGGAGACGGCGGATGGCTACACCATCAGTGGTGGCAAGATGTGGATCACCAACTCGATGGAGGCCGACTTCTTCATCGTCTTTGCCAACCTGGACCACAGCAAGGGTTACAAGGGCATCACTGCGTTTGTCGTTGAGAAGGGCACCGAGGGCTTCTCCATTGCCAAGAAGGAGAAGAAGCTCGGTATCAAGGCCAGCAGCACCTGCGTCATCAACCTTGACGACGTGAAGATCCCCAAGGAGAACCTTCTTGGTGAGAAGGGACAGGGCTACAAGTATGCCATCAGCCTGCTCAACGAGGGGCGCATTGGTATCGCCGCGCAGATGACCGGCCTGGCCCTTGGGTCGTGGGAGAACGCTGTCAAGTAAGTTCCGTCACCTTCGAGCAAGCGAGGGGGCTCAGTCTAACATGTGCAGGTACGTTTGGAACGACAGAAAGCAGTTTGGCAAGCTCGTCGGCGAGTTCCAGGGCATGCAGCACCAGATCGCGCAGTCTTACACCGAGATCGCCGCCGCCAGGTCCCTGGTCTACAACGCGGCCCGCAAGAAGGAGGCCGGTGAGGACTTTGTCATGGATGCCGCCATGGCCAAACTCTATGCCTCGCAGGTCGCTGGACGTGTCAGCGGCCTCGCAATTGAGTGGATGGGTGGTATGGGTTTCGTGCGCGACGGCCCCGCGGAGAAGTTCTGGAGGGACAGCAAGATCGGCGCCATCTATGAGGGCACGAGCAACATCCAGCTTAACACGATCGCCAAGCTGCTGCAGAAAGAGTACACTGCATGAGCAGATGACATCGTAACGCGTCAAATAGAATAAAAGAAAAGCTCGTTCAAATCTGAATCTCAGGGCGCTGGCTTGGCATTAAGGATTCACTTCAGATAGGTGGTAAGCGTAGACTCTAGTTTGTCATGATCATACCCTTGATCTGTGAGAGTCGGGTTGTCAACTCCCTCTTCACATCACGTGTCTCAAATCGAATCAAACACTGTAGCCTCAGTCGACACTCTGATACAGTTTTGGACAGTAGGGTCAGATGCGGCCAGTGTCCAGATCGTCCTAGGTGATTCAAATTTGATGCCCAACCTTGGGAGGGGAGGCTTGAAAATTGGGGAGCTAGACCAACGAGAACCATGTTTTTTTTTACTTGGAAGACCGGCCGATCATTTCAGCTCGCAGATACCATACCTAGGCGCAGCAGCAATAGGGTTCGCCTTTTGTGTGCTCACTTTCCTTTACAATAGAGTCAGCTTAGCGACTCTAGGAGGGTTGTCCGGATAAATGCCAATTGCGACTTGAAGTACACTATCTTCATTGGAGATCGACTGCTGGTCAACGATCCTTTGTCGATACGAGCTCAGGCACGAGGGATCTACATGGCCCGGAGGCCCTGTTGAGCAGCGTTCGGGTGGGCTCTTCGCTAAGCGGTTATGTACAGACAGCGGAAATAAGATCGTCTACGCACCGGACTATAGAGGCTCGGATGATGACGCGGCACCCATGCCTGTTCGTCTCTTTTCTGTCTGATTTGCAGTTGACTCGACATCGTATCTCTTCATGTGCGAGACCTGCACACACGTGAAGGAAGGTGGACAAAACCACAGTGGCCTACCAAAGCTAGCGGACAACTGTCATTATGGCGTAGGGCACTGTTCTGGAGAGTTGCTCCATGAATGTCCCTGTACACCCCTACCTAGTTGAACTCTCGGCCTGGCTGGAATGTGGTCGGGGTGGACAACCCCCGAGGTGTCCGGCGTATGAAGATGATAGGCAGGCATGATATGTGACATGTGTGTGTCAGGCTGCGTAGGGCACAATCACACTCACCGCGACGCACATCAGGAAGGACGGACACAGCTCTCGAAGCATCAGTGCCCTCATGTAGCGCGTAGCAGCTCTACGCCTGCATCATATGATGGTGGTGGATGTGTGCGGAGAGCCTTGAGGCCAGTCCTAAAGGGCGCTGAAGTGGGTTTTCGTTGCTCTGGCGTGGGGATCTAGGACTTTCGGTAGTCAGACGGGCGCCTGTGCTGCGGTCGGATCAGTCACCAATGACGACGCCAGGACCAAGGTAGTCTGAGACAGTGAGTGTCCTACAAGAGTAAGAACCGGACAAGCCTCGGAAGGGTTTTATTTGTCCGTTCTGGCGAATATTCTGCATGCTGTGCAGTCAGTTATGCTTGGCTGCTAGGCGAACTGCAGTCGAGAGCGTTGGATACCACACTGAAAGATGGCAAGGACGCGGCGAACAGGATATATCGCGGATGCCAACGTTAAAGACGTGCTTTGGTTCACGCCATGCGTGGTGGCCGAGCAGCCTCTGACGCCATCACAAAGTGAAAGTCCACGGAGGACGCCTAAAACAGGTATGAGCCAGGGAGGCCGTATAGCGGGCACGGACGCTGTAAGGGACACCCAATCTGCCGAACATCAGCGACCAGTGCCCTACCGGGGATCAGTATCTTCAGCCCACCTTCGTAGAAGCAGGGCACGTCAGGCATCGAAGAGCATGCCACCCCTGTACCTGCCCGAGGCAAGGCCTGTCCAGCTGCCAGGGCAAATTCCCATTTGTCCTTCCCATGGGCTCTGGCAAGTCAGTGGCCGAGCCCCCCTCCATGCCCGTGCCCATCCCACCTCATCTGCAGCGCGAAACCAGACATGGGCCTGCCCACCCCGCTTTGCTCCTCCCACTGATCAATGAGCTACGTTTATCCGACCTCCCCCCCCCCCTCTCTTGCATCTCGCACCACCAACACACGCAACATTTGTTGTGATCTGCCACACGGCTTCGACCTCACCTACTGTCTCGTGCTTCCTAGCCTCTAGTAGCACGACTACGAGCCGGCCTCATTGCTGCTTATTCGACATCCACAGGAGTATCACCTTCGACATATTACCCAGGACAACCCTGTCGAGGCAATAGTGGTACGGGGTGACGGCGTCCATGCGAGTTGATACACCAGACCAGCAAAACGCGCCAACACACCCCTCGAACGACAGACAAAGGCTGCTTATTTACCTCGCAGCTTTGAACACTGAAGGTACTTGTCCTTACCGACCTACTTCGACAGCTTTGACCCGCGCGTGGCTTACTGCAACCCTTTTGCCCACCATGAGTGACGAAGAGGCGATTCAGAACATTCTCAAAAAGATTGAGCGCGAAAAGGTCTTGATGAATGGCGCCAACGCCATGCTGGCCCAGACCGACAATGACTCTGTCCGATCAAGACTCAACTCCCAACTGCGAGATACTCGCCGAAACCTTCAATTCTTTGAAGAAAAGCTGCGGGAACTGCAGATGCGCCGCAACCAGTCCGCCATGGATAGTATGTCGCTGGGTGGACCTGACGATGGAGCTGAGGGCGACGGCTCGGGTCCTCCTCCTCCGCCGCCAAAGGATGCCGGTTCGTGGGGAGAACATGCTCGCGCCGGCAGCAGTACCTCCTTCGGTTCTACCCAGTACAGCCAAATCGGTCAGCATGGCGACCTCATGCCGCCTCGCCATCCCTATGCTCCCCCAGGCCCGGCATCATCTGTGCCCAAGCCTCGACCCAACTACACCAAGCTTGGTTTGTCTCCCAGTACAAACCTATCATACGATGAAGACCGTCATGTCTGCCATTTTGTAGAGATAGACTAACAAAAGGTATCCAGATCTGATCAAATACGACAATCCGTACCTGGGACCACGAATTCAACTCATGCTTTCTCAGATTCAGTTCAAGCTCAAGGTTGAAGAACAATACCTGAAGGGTGTCGAGAAGATGGTGCAGCTGTATGGCATGGAGGGCGACAGGAAGAGCAGAGCAGATGCTTCGGCTCGTAGGGTCGAGAGCAAGCAAAAGATTCTCTTGCTGAAGCAGGCCCTCAAACGCTACGAGGAACTTCACGTGGCTGATGTTGTGGGCTCCGATGATCACGACGGTGAGCACATGATCGCTGAGGTTTTCGTGTCGGGACGAAGCTAACTAACGTGACCCTCAGATGATTCCATCAACATGCCCAACCTGCGAAAGCCCTTGACTGGTCAGCTCTCTATCCGCGTAGCACTCATTAAGGATGTCGACCACGCATCCACTGGACGATTCAGCCGCGGGCCGGAGACCTTCGTGC